TTATCTAAATAGTGCACCAAGCGCACATGGTACTAAAGTAGATCCAGGATGATGTATACGAAGTTTCGCTGAAATCGGTTCAGATTTAGGTATAGCTTCCATATATAGTTTCTTCCGATTTTATGTGAATGATGCACCAAACTCCTAATATTTGTCCGATTGAGACAAAATTTCACAGCATACTAAATTAGGTCCAGATATATATATATACATATATATACATATATATATATATGCAAAGTTTGGTTCAAATAGGTTTAGAAATATATATTGCTCCCATATATAGTTTAGTCCGATTTTATAAAAAATGGAGCTCCAAAGTTCCAATATTTTTCCGATTGAAATAAAGTTTTGCATAGCGAATGCAATTCAGTCAAGAATGATGTGTGTTGTTGGTTGAAATTAGTAGTTCGATTTACACGAATTCGCCAGAGGTGAGAGTGAAGTGTATTAAAGTTGCAAACACAGAATGGTGTATGCAACGATTTCATACAAATGATACCCCAAAGAATCTAAGTCTTCCTGTTTGACATGTAATTTTTAATGGGGTTTTAATCCACGTCATTCAATGTTCAATCCACGTCATTCAATGTTTACATACTTTTTTATTGGATAAAAATGAGACCTTAATGAACTAATACTTTTTCTATAGAAAAAATACCTCAGTTCATGTAGACCTCTTTTTTCTATGGAAAAAATTCCTCAGTTCGTGGAGGCCTCTTTTTTTTGTCGTTGGAAAAATTCCCTTTAAAACTTCGTGTTCTTTTAAAATAGAGTTTTGAAAAATCCATGCCATTGGAGGGATTCGTCTTAATAATTTTTCTTAAAAAGTATAGGTTTACGTTAAGACGTTCCTTGAAGAGTATTCTTAAAACATCCACATTTAGTAGCCTGTTGTTCGGAATTTAACTATAAAATCTAAATTCCATTTAGTTAATTGCCGTTGTCGTTGACAATTTCCTTCGTAAAACATTTTTTTTCCGGAAAATTATTATCCTTTCATTTACTAAATTGTTTAATTAATTTTATTAAAATGACATTCACAAAGATCATTCATTAAATTTGCAATTTTTTTATTTTTCTATTTTATTTTCAGAAACTTGAAACAACAAATATATTCATAACGATGAAAGACTGACTTTAATAGCAACAAAAACGACAACAACAACAAACCACTGCAGTCAATCAAATGTTGCATTTGTATAAAATTATACAACGTTCATCATCAAACGGAACTTAAGTGAAAATGTTATTCAAAATAGTTTCTTAGTTTTTCAAAATATTTCTACGTTGCTGTCTTTTTTCTCCTGAAGCTTTAATTGTTCTAAAGAAATTGAAACACAAACATTTTTCGAAAAGCAAACCCCTAAAATAAAGCTGAGGGGAGGAAGTGAAAATAATCCTTTGGATGTTGCAGAAGAAATAGCAAAGAGCATTTGGGGTTTCCATACGACTCCAGGATTAATTATGCAAATTGAATTGAAACTGTCAACTAAGTTGGATCGCGCAGAGACACCATATATATGTAAGCAGCAACTAAGAAATAATGTTGCTGACAAAGACATCGTTTCTTAAGAATTTGAACTTGGCATAAGCGGGAGCGGCAGCAAAGACATGCTAAATCTTGGAAATAAAAATTGTAAGGAGCGCGAACAAACTAAGGCATCCATGGCAACTATGCAGCATCATCATAGTGAAATATTAAGGCAAACAACACAACGAAATATAAAAATTGTTACTCCATTATCCACAATGTTATCAGTAGTAGTGCCAACACCCGCCACGACCACCACCACCACGAATACACCCGTAATATCCTCCTCGACAATGTCCTCTAGTGAAATGGTTCGTATGAATACCGCCATATTTCAGACAGAGCATAATTCATCGTCAGCAATATCAGGGTTATTGTCATCAACATTATATTCATCGTTGCTGTCGTTCTTGTCGTCCTCGTCTTCAGCAAAAGCAACAGCTACAACGAACAGCAACTCTTTGGGTCGAAACAATAGCGAGACAAGAGCTAAAACATCATTAACACCAACGTGCTTATTAAGGACGTTAAGGAAAACTATTGCAAGCCATAGTTTAGATGGCAAGGGAGCTTCCAACATTTCTTGTTGGCTCAACAGTATCATCAACACAAACATCAAACACACAATGAGGAGACAGCAACTTCAGCAGGAGCAGCATCAAAAACAACCACAAAACCCGGGGTCAGTCCTCCTCCACCACCACCACCACAACAAACATTCACATTCAAACCATTGTGCCGAAATTTCATTACAACATCCAAATAATAGCACAAATCTTGTACAGCAACATGGAAGACACCGTTGTCGTCATCAGCAGCGACAGAAAACGAAAGAAAGCCAGCAACACGGACACCACCCCAAACAATTTTTAAATAAAACACGAAAATTCTTACAATTGCTGACATATTTCGTAGCAATCATTACAACATTAACAGTGCCGGCAACATCAGCATCAGCAACCGAACAACATGTGAATTTAAACGAAAGGAATTTGAAAATAGCAACGACAACGCCGGGGAAAAATTCATCCTGGACAGCAACGTTCATAGTTAACACGGACAACAGCAACACTAACATCAACAACATCGATAACAGTAACAAATATTCGCAGGAATTTCAACCAACAGCATCGCCATCCCTGGCACTCATTGATGAGAATGATGGAATGGCATCGAACATCCTTTCCGAACCAACATCACCCAGCAACACATTATCCTTTGCAAACGAAAACAACAACAAAATCAATTCCAGGCTGGATGTTGACATCAATAACGTCATTATTTCACGTTTTGTTCGTTCACTGGATGGTGGAAGCAGCAGCAGTAGTAGTACCAGTAGTTCGAGCTCATTCACTTCTTCTTCCTCATCATCGGCATCTGGACCATCTGGTATTATGAATATCAACAATCAAAATTTGGATGTCGGTTTGGGCAACAACAACAACATTGAATGTCCCAGCTTTGATGAGAGTTCGGCATGTCCATGTTATAAGTTCGAAGATGGTAAGGATTTTAAATTCAACCAAAGAAATTCTAGAGAAAAAAGAGTCATCAGTATTCTGAGGATTCTTTTCTATATGAAAAAAATCCTCAGTGCTCTGAGGAGTTCATTTTTCTATAGAAAAAATTCCTTAGTTCGCTGAGGACTCCTTTCTTCTATAGAAAAATATTCCTCAGTTCGCTGAGGACTCTTCTTTCTTCAGAAAAAAATTCCTCAGTTCTCTGAGGACTCTTTTTTTCTATAGAAAAAAAATTCCTCAGTTCGCTGAGGACTCTTTTTTCTATAGAAAAAATTTCCTCAGTTCGCTGAGGACTCTTTTTTTCTAGAAAAAAATTCCTCAGTTCGCTGAGGACTCTTTTTTCTATAGAAAAATTCCTTAGTTCGCTGAGGACTCTTTTTTCTATAGAAAAAATTCCTTAGTTCGCTGAGGACTCTTTCTTCTATAGAAAAATAAATATTTAAATATTTTTTTTACTTCGTTATTAATCAACAAATAATTATCCATTTTTCACTCCACACCTTCCCCCACATATTTACAGGTCTCTTCCTCGAATGCCCCGGAACAACAGCAATATCGTTACGTTCAACCTTGGAACGTATCTCTTCGCCAATACACTCCCTGTCAATTTATGATTTTGATCGTTCGGTCACGTCCCTATCGCAGGATGTCTTCCAGCCAGGTGTCAATATAAGACATTTGCAATTTTCCCACTCACATTTGGAAACGTTGAAAGATAATAGTCTCAAGAATGTACGTGCATCATTGGAATCGTTGAGCATCGTTAATGGTAAATTAACACAGGTACGTACGTAGATCCAAAACTGTTTGAATTCGTAACATAATGGTTATTGCAATGCATGGTTGGAAACAGCTTTGCAAATAACATTCGTCATTAATGTATGCATATGTATGTGGGAGCATATGTTTAAAATGGACATGACCACCGTATATTTGGCATGCATGAGGTAAAATAATGAATGAAAGTCCAATTTGCATATAATACATGTGTGCAATAATTATATAAGACAATATGTTGGAATATTCGTTAAAATTGAGAACAGTGATATAGAGGGATTGAATTTATATTATTGATTAAAGAAATATTAAGCGAAATGTGCGTTCTTCAAACGAAGGACCGTGATTCACAATTTGAATTTTCTTATCTAATACATATTTTTTGGTAAAGCTGTTTAATGCAACATTTCAGTAACTCGATAGAAAACATTTTAAAGCAAAGTTAGTCAGAAAATTGGGCCATATAAGAAAACGATTAATAATCGCACCTTTAAAAGGGTCTAATATAAATTAGCCACTTTTGCACTTTTTGGCTTTAAAATGTATATATGTATTGGTCGTTCTTTTGTTGATCCTAGGTCCAATCGAAGTGATTATATTTTAATATGATTGTAATCTTTTATACCGGGATCATAGTGGGTTAGCAAATTCTTCACAGTATATTTTGAATAAAATTGCATCTTTATTTATATGTTCAAAGTCAAAGCCCAATTTTCATCCTGAGCATCGGCAGTTTCGTATTTAGATTACAGCATTCCATGGCAAAGTTCCGACCAATTTTAAGAGTTTTTTTTAAGTTCGGCCTATCGAACAATGTATACTACTTCTTGGTATGGTACAGGGTAGTATGTATTTGTGCACGAAATTAACATTGCCAAACCTATTGACATTGAGAGAAAAAACGGCTCAGATTTAAATATAGCTCCCACACATAAATTTTCGTCCGATTTAATGTAAATGGTGCACCAAAGTCCCTACATATCTTTCGATTTATATGGAATTTGGTACAGCGTACTAAATAAAGACCACAATGATATATGCTAAGTTTAGTAAAAATCTGTTTAGATTTAGATATAGCTCCTATATATGGAAATGATGCACAAAGTGCATCTTTCGATTTACATGAAACTTGGCACAGCGTTCTGAACTGAGTCTAGAATAATATGTGCTTAGTTCTGTGAAAATCGGTTCAGATTTAGACATAGCTCCCATATATATTTTCGTCCGATTTTATGTAAATGATGCACCGAAACCCCATATATATCTTTTGATTTGCACGAAATTTGGCATAGCATGCTGAACTGAGTATGGAATGACATGTGCTAAGTTTCGTGAAAATCGGTTCAGATTTCCTTCCATATATATTGTTCTCCGATTTCATGTAAATTGTACACTAAAGACCCAAAGATTGTACGATTGACTTTATACAATGTAAAAAATCCGTCCGTCTATTTGGCCGACTGGTGCACACCATAACTCTCGAAGGGAGCAACCGATTTAATCCAAACTTTGCACATCGCAATATTGCTTCCAAACATAGCTTAAGTTCGAACGGTCCACTCCTTCAAGAAAAATGTTGACCCCACAAAATGGTCAACATTTTGCTAATTTTTTTATGATATCTTGCGATCTATTTGATTTGAATCAAACTTTGCACAATATATTATCTTTATCAATTCTAGATCAAGTCAGATAAAGTGGATCAATGGGACCCACATTGGTCCACTCCTTATGGTACCAAAGGTTACAAATTGTCCATATTTATTAATGAAAAATTAGGCGAATGGAATATATAATTTGAACCAATTTTTGAACTACTGTTTATTTTTTTAACCCTAGATAAAGTCGAAGATGGACCCATTGATTTACTCCTTCTGATACCTCCCTCACAACTGGTCAAATATTTTAATATTTATAAATCCAAAATTAGGCGAATGGAATGTCCAATTTGAACCAAATTTTGCACAATTTAATATCTTTACAAAACCGATATCAAGTCCGAAGATGGGATCCTAGGCCCTCTCCCTCTAGTATGTCCGATTTGAAATTTTGCACAACTTATTATTATTGCCTTACTTACTTTCTTAGCTGGCTTATGACAGAATGGTTGTTCCATAAGCCGAGCTCAAAAATATTTCCAAGCGTGTTGGTCTTGTGCGCATCTCATCCAATTTGAAATACCATTTTCCGAGATGTTGTCTTCTACTTGATCTTTCCATCGGATTCGTGACCTTCTCCTTCTGCGTGAATCATCACTTGGCTCGCTTTTATATGCCTTTTGAGCTGGGGCATCTTCATCCATTCTCACAACATGGACTAGCGAACGTAGTCGCTGCAGTTCGATACGTCTAACTTTGTCGATGTCCGAGTATAGACGGTACATGGTTCATTCGACGGCGATATTCACCGTCGACACAGATCGGTTTAGAGAATTTTTCTCTCAAAAACTCCAAGAGCTGCCTCATCTGCTTGCGCAAGTATCCATGCTTCGGATCCATAGCGTTTGAGTTTGGTCTGGCGAGAGGTGGTCTTGCTTTTAAGTTGCTTACTCAGACTATGGTAGCATTTGTTCGCCAACACTATTCTTCTCGGGATTTCAAAGCTGATGTTATTAGTTTTGTTTATGGCGGTACCGAGGTATATAAAATCGTTCTCTACCTCGAAGTTTTCAGGGTTCCATAGTTGGTCCGAGTCTACTGGACATCTTGCGCGTTGATACCATCGGCTTGGCTTTTTCGCCATTTACTGCCAGTCCCACTTTGGGAGACTCCTTCTCAATTCGTTCAAAAGTGACTGTTGCCGCTCGCAATGTTCGACCCATTATGTCGATGTCGTCGGGGTAGGCGAATAACATATACTGTTTGGTGTACAAAATGCCATTTCTGTTCACATTTGCATCTTGTATGACTTTTTCCAGCAGGATGTTGAACAGGTCACATGACAAACTGTCACCTTGTCTGAATCCTCGTTCGGTATTGAAGGGCACCGAGAGGTCCTTTCAGTCTCTAACATGCTGAGGTCTCAATAATTGGAACCTAGTGCATGCATCGGTTCAAAATTATGAATTATGAACCAAGTTTCGGGGTAGCCGCCATATAACGGTACTATTTGCTATTTTTCATATATTCGGAAGTTTTTCAAACAAATTGGTAATCATTTTGTATTGTGTGTTCTAATTGGATATCAAACCTACCTACCAAAATCAGATAATAAAGTCGGTTTTTGAAAGTAAAATTTGTATAAGACATAATTAAAATTATGAAAAAAATTAAATCTATACGCATTAATTTATTTAAGATTTAAAAATCTGCTTTTAGCAGAAAACGCAATTATAATTGCATTTTTTACATACATAACTTTGTTTTCTCATTTCCTTTGATATTTCAAAATAATATTTTTATTTATTCCTTTGCAAATAATGCAACCTCGGTAATAGCTAAATGGAATTAGTGGGAATTATTGTTCCAGTGGAAATAAGACGAATAGCAACAACAGATTATAAGAGTGAATATTACACGAATAATGCGCAATACTTATGAATGTACGTACACATTTACATATGTACAAGTTTGTCTATGATACTGCGTATACGTTTGGATGTTAGTCGTTAAGCATAAGCACGTGTGCATGCGTGAATTTGGGAACGGAAACGGATGTAATGCGTGTTAGAACACAAACACACGTAAACTTAAACAATCTCATCCCTCTTGCAACCTGTTTATTGCGGCTTATGGGTAACATCATCGCATATTCACACATCCAGGCAAAGATGTGGGAAACACGTTTTCCGTAATCATGAATGTGTGAATCTTGTTTCCAGGTTGGCAGTTTTGTTGTTTTTTTTTTTCATTTCGAAGAGAGAACAGACTTTTGTTGACTTATTTTGTCCAAAGTTGATGTTGTTGTTGTTCTGTTTCGACTTGTACACTCTTGTGTTATGCCAAGGACCTACGTAATATTGTCAAATTGAAAACGTGTTGAAAACAGATTCTTCATCATTCGCTTTTGGTGTTGTCTTTATCGTAGTGTTGTCGAGCGAGTGTGAATTTAATATTTAATTTGCAGTCAGAATAATTTACCACATGGCTGATGTGTTGTTAGTCCTTTTTATGACCAGCGGTGATATTGTGTAAGAGTATTTGTACAGAATTAGTCTGTCATGTTTGAACATGACAAATGTTGGCAATGTTATTTAACGTTATGTTATTGGGGGGAAAATATGTCTAAGCAAATTTTGGTTGTCATGTAAAAGTATCCATATAGTTGTGTGTGAATTTATGTGGTTAATATGCTAATGTGATGGTGGACAGTGTTCTGATTCCCAAAAATCCATGATTTGTAGGTCAAATACTCATTGCAAAATATTGAAAAAAAAAAAAACAAGCCAAATACTCCTTGCAAAATATTTTTTAAAAAACATGCCTCGAAAAATTTTATGTTTTTAAAATCCACGCCTTGGAATAGTCCTTGAAAATAATATTTATTAAAAAACATGTCCTCTACGTCTAATAGTCCTTAAACAAATATGTTTGAACTTGTTGGTCTGTTAGTGCCTAAAAAATATTGTAAAACCAGTGAGCGGAGCAGTATAGTCGGACGGGGCCGACCATATGATACCCTACACAACTTCCACGAAAATCTAATTTTGTGTGGTTCTATATTCTGATCTTGGGCAATATTTGCACTCTCTTGACCTCCACCGTGGGTTGTGTTGTTATGTTCGGATTTCGGCTCGAAAAAACCAAAAAAAAAAATAAGTTTTCGGTCCACTTCATCCCAATATTATTATCTGATCATCATCGAAAATTACAGGCCTTGTCCTTAACCATACCTGGACCCTCATGGAAAATTTCAAAGCGATCAGCGCTATATTTTCGCCTTCTAGGTTGGTAATGGGTTACTAAATAATGAATTTGAATACGTAAGCACCTGTAAATATTTACGTGTAACTCCCACATCCGAGTACATACGACAATGTAATTGGTATCAATTTGAAGGTCAACCACTCCTCTTGGATA